AAGACTCACGGGCATGCTTGACACCAACGTATAGATACTCGTCACCATGCGTATACGTCGTACTCCACAATTAACATGTAGCAAATAAGACACAACTCCTAATCCCTCAAGCTAAGGTTAGACCAAACACTTACCTCGCTTTGCAACCAATTCAAAATTCCAACAAGCCTTTGTCTCGTGAATTCGTGCCCGAAATTCTTAAATCTAGTCATAAACAATTCGATTCAGTCAATAAAATTATAGGAATTAATTCCATATGAAATTCTACATTTTCCATTAAAAATTCGAAATTGCACTAAAATTCGCCCGTGGAGCCCACATCTTGGAATCCGACGAAACTCACAAAATCCGACAACCCATTCAACCACGAGTCCAACCATACCAAAATTACTAAATTCCGATATCGGATTGGCTTTCAAATCTTAATTTTTATTTTTGGAAAATTTGACTACAAATCTGATTTTTCTTCCATAAATTCATGGATTCATGATGTAAATGCATATGGAATCATGAAATATAATCAATATAGGATAAGTAGCACTTACCCCAATGTTTTCACGTGAAAATCGCCCAAAATCGCCCAAGAACGGAGCTCCAAAAATTCCAAAACGAAATGGCAAAGTGACTGATTTTTATGGTTAAATGTTTCTGCCCATCCGTCACTAAAAGTCATTTTCGTCACTAAAAGTCTACTAGAAACAGCTTTACGAGCCCTTATTCAATTGATCATAACATTCTGTACAAATGTCCAAATGCCAAACGGTTTAATGTTGTGAAACTAGAATGCAAGGGTTACAACTTTCGTGTTTTGCACATTTTCAGATTCTTTATAGATTTCGAGATATAAGCTTCCAAAGTAGCCTCCTCGCATCAAACATTTCTGGAAAATTTCAAAACAGCTTTACCAACCCTTATTCAATTGATCATAACTTTCTGTACAACTATCCAAATAATTAATGGTTTAGCTTTCCAAAAACTGGAAGGGCTACAACTTTCATGCTTTGTAAATTTACAGATTCCTTATGTATTTTGAGATATAAGCTTCCGAAATAGGCTCCACGATTGCACAGTTGTTGTCCAAGATAGCTTCTGCAGCAGAAATTCCAGCAACCTTTTTTGTCCGATTTCCATTCCGTTAACCTTCCAAAATCCACCCGAGGCCCTCGGGACCTTAACCAATTATACCAACATGTCCCAAAATACAATACGAACTTAATCAAGGCTTCAAACCACATCAAACAATACCGAAATTACGAATCGCGCATCGAATTGAATTATGAGTTTTCAAATCTTCCAAATTCTATATTTTTGTGCCGAAACATATCAAACCAATCCGGAATGACTTCAAATTTTACACACAAGTCATAAATGACATAATGGAGCTGTTTCAATTTTTAAAATCGGATTCCGACCCCGATATCAAAAAGTCAACTCTCGGTCAAACTTTTCCAAAAATCTTCTATTTTCCAACTTTCGCCAAAATGCGTCGAATTGTCCTACGGACTTCCAAATCCAAATCCGAACATGCTCCTAAGACCAAAATCATCATAAGAAACTATTGGAATCATCAAAATTCCATTACGGGGTCGTTTGCTCAAAAGTCAAATCTCCGTTCAAACTTAAGAAGTCTTTAGCCTTGATTTCTAGATTCCGTTAAATGACGATAATTTGATCTATGGACCTCCGAATTCGATTTCGGGCATATGACCAAGTCCCAAATCACGATACGGAACTACGAAATGGTCAAAACTTAGATCCGGGTTCGTTTGCTCAAAATGTTAACCGAAGTCAACTCAGTTGAGTTTTAATGCTCTAATTTATAATTTAATCCATTTTCATACAAAAACCTTCCGGAAAATTATACGGACTGTGCACGCAAGACGAGGAATTATTAATAGTATTTTTCAAGGTCTTAAAACACCGATATAATTATTTAATTTAAAAATGATATTTTGGGTCATCACACGCACCACCTTCCCCATCACCCTCCTTTACCTATGCCGCAACTCGTAAGAATGAAGGTAGTTTGTTTTCATTGAATTTGAAAATAAGCCAATTCTATGAGGATTAAGGGCTTCAATTGGTGCAACAACATCTCTACTGTAGCTTTATAAATCCCCGTTGTAGAGACCAAAACAAATTTATTTAGCCTCGTATATGTAGAGTGAAAAAAGAGGATGACCATGAGTTATAACTTTTTGAATATTTGAGGCATTTGGCCAAAATGAATGTGTTTTTGAGAAAAAATAATTTTTTTACTTTTGGAAAGATGTTACAAATTGTAGCTTCGTCTCGGAAGCAAAATTAGCAGCAGGAAATTAATTTCTAGACTATTCCTACCAAAAATTTATATTTTATAAATTATCTCTCATTAATTTGACTTTTTCAAAATTTTAATTTCTAACATCTCTTTTTTTTTCTTTTTTATTTCTAATATACTTATATTCTCATTCTCCTATTCTTCTTTCGAATAGTCTCTCTATAGTTCACTTCTTTTTATTGATGTTTAGTAATTTATATTGAATGATGAATTTTGATATATTTAATCATATAAATAAGAAGTAATTATAGATATTTAATATTATTACTTTGATATAATTATATTTTATATTGGTTAAAATATTCAATATATATTTTACTATTTCATATTTTATTTATATAAAATAATAATTTTATTAAATTATTTTATAATATATATTCAAATTCAATTCTCTTTTAAATTGTAAATTGAAAGTTGATATTGTCTTTTTTTAAACTTAAACCTAAAAAGTATTTTTTTGGAAAGATTATCGCAGTTTTCTCCGACCAGGCGTTTACTTTGACTATATCATGTCATTTGACCATCTTCATCCTTTCCCCATCATTTCCATAATCATAAACCCTAATACTTCTCCTTCCTCCTCAGTACTCACTCTACTAGATCACAGATCTTCATCACAGTTTGTATATCTTTGAAGAATTAGAGCTTTACAGAATAATTCATCAAATTTTCGATGAATATGGATACAGCTCGGAGTTCTAGTATTTTCCGTTTGCAATAGAAGAGTCCCATTCCAAAGGATTCAAACATGAATCAGAGTCATACGCCGTCGTTTCATTACAGGAAATTAGAATCCGACTCTCCTAGACAACCGTGGAGCGGCGATTTTGATTTCGACGGCAGCGATCGGAGATTCGCATTTTCACGGCAGAGTTCGTTTCAGCAATCGGCTGAGCCTCACACGCCGATTTCCTTATTAACGAACGATTCCGCAAAGCCTTTGCTTACTCGAACTGTTTCGAGCATTGATATACCGCCGAATATTTATCCACAACATGCATTTGGCAAGTTGCAGGATTCGGATGTGAAATTTAGGATTTCTACGTATGCGTCATCGGTTTTTCGAGGCGTGATGTCTGGGAATAAGCAGATGAGGAGGTTATTTATGTTGATTTCGCTAAATGTAGCTTATTCTACTGCGGAGTTGTGTATTGGCCTTCTCTCTGGCCAAGTAGGTATGCAAGTTTTAGTCTTTCTTTCACTTGTAGATGTTTAGATAATCTGCTGAATTGTTGAAATCTCAAGTTCATGTGTGTGTGTCTTAAAAACAATTCATTTGCGGAATCAAAAACTTTAAGACAATAAAAAAGGTTATCATTTTCACAATGTTGTTCAAATTCATCTTGTGGTCGAGCTTAGAGATTGCTCCTTTCTTGGTGTCCCTCCTCAAGTGCAGCCAGGAATTCATACAAGGGGATTTGAAAAAGTAATATTATCTTACCTACAATCTGAACCTGTGATCTAAAACAATTTTTAAATCCCTTTTGTCACTATACTAAAATCTTACTTATATCAAGGGGATTCAACAGTTTTATATATAACCAATAAAATTCATTTTTTGCCCCATTCATGCAGTACAATTTTGAACCCCTTGCCACCCTTTTGCTCCGCCCCTATTCTCAACAGAAGTTTTTCAAAAGCGAACTGAAAATGCTTATGAGCAATCTCAAATTTATTCCCCCATTCGCCATCCCTGAAGAGAAAAAAAAAAGAAAAGAAAAGAAGAAAAGTTAGTGACTATAATGAAGCAACAAGTTATAACATGGATTGACTGGGGAGCCCACTGTAGGCCTCCCTTCCACTTTCCCCTATTGCACCCCACCATAATCAAATAAAAAGATAAAACAAAAAGGAAAATAATAGCTAATGATATCTAGTATCCTATTTTTATCAGTCTATGAATCTTTAGTTTCCCACTTAGTCATTATTTCTTGCTTAGTATCTTTTGTAGAATTTTGTTTGATTCTGGTGTAATTTCAGGGTTGGTATCAGATGCATTTCATTTGACCTTTGGTTGTGGCCTTTTGACATTTTCATTGTTTGCAATGGCCGCTTCTAGAGAAAAGCCCGACCGCGTTTACACTTATGGGTGAGAGTTGAACTTTATCATCATATGAAATTCTTTGTTAGTTAAGCCTCATCCCCCCCCCCCCCCCCNGCAATGGCCGTTTCTAGAGAAAAGCCCGACCGTGTTTACACTTATGGGTGAGAGTTAAACTTTATCATCATATGAAATTCTTTGTTTGTTAAGCCTTATTTTTCCCCAGCTGTGTGTTAATCCTTTTCACGTGCTCATTATTGAAGTTTGGTGACTTGTCAGTGCAGTTGGTTAAATGAGTAGATACAAATGTTTCTTACATGATGGGAAATATTTTAGCGGGCAAATATGTTAAAGGAGTTTTGGTGGTTATCAAAGGAGAAGCAATTTAGGCTGGTCATTGAAGTATTAGACAAAAGGAAAACTAAAATAGAAAAGGCAAAAGGATACCTCTCTGTTTTTATCAGGTCTTGACTTCAATAGCTTTTGACAAACTTAGAAAGGCAATTAGAATTCTTAGGTTAAGCCAATTAAGAATATCTCTGCAGCTTGTCTAACATTTGCAATTAAGAGAATTGCTCACAGTTTATCTAGCACTCCAACCCATCATAATAAGTCCATTCTGTTAAATGTCCCACATTGGTGGAGAAAATGAGTTGTTGTCTCCTTATATGGTGGTCGTGAGCAATCTTCAATCTTGAGCTAGATTTTGGGGTTGAGTTAAACCTAAAGGTGCATTTCTTAACATGGTCTTAGTGCCAGACCCACTAATATTCTTTATTTACCTAATGTTGAACCTCCATATTATGCTGTCCACGCTTCAGATGTCCAATTTTGTGCATGCGGGGGAGTGTTAAATGTCCCATATTTCTGGAAGAAATGGGTTGTTGTCTGCCTATACGGTCTTGGGCAATCCTCACTTCTCAAACTAACTTTTGGGGTTGAGTTAGACACAAGATCGATCTCTTAACAATTAACACCTTCATTTGAACAATTATGACCAATTAGTACAATGTTCCATTATGTTGTTGTTGTTGTCGTCATCAGGTACAAAAGGCTCGAGGTCTTGTCTGCTTTCACTAATGCTGTAAGTACATGACACCATCATAATTTTTTCTTTCGCATTTAACTTCCAATTCTTCCATTAAAAGTGTCTTTTCACACCCAGTTATCTCCGGATTGCATAATTTTTGCAATTCTTGTATTGCTTTGCTATTTACATGGGTAGGATGTCAAAGAAGCTATATCTGTGAAAGACTCTTTATTAAATAAAATTGTGCAAATCACTTGGATATTGCTTGTAATTAAAGAGTTAAACCATTAAACAATCAAAAATATAAAGATTTACACCATTGAGTCCTCAATTAAGAGATCTACCTTTCAATCAGGGGAAGCATAGAGGATTGTTTTTTTTGTTTTTTTTGGGTAAACCTGGTGTCAGCTAGCTACACGAACCTGTTCTGGAAGTTTAAGGGTTGTCAGCATATTAGTGATCCCAGAAGTAGTTGTCAGGTAATATCAAGCAACTTTTTTTATGAGAGGCATTTATCTTTACTTTTGTTTAGCAAATAAAAAAGGTTAGATATTTAGCAAAAATTACAAAAGTCGTTAAGTGCAATTTGGGATGGGAAAGAGGAGTTGCTTGGAGAAATAGTGTAAGACATGAAATAATCCGTGGCGAAGTCAAAAAATTTACAAAGGGTGTTCAAGGTTTAATATATATTTATAAAAAGTTAATTTTAACCTATATACATAGTATACTTTTTTATATACTTAGTATAATATTCCAATGAAGGTTGTTCAGTTGAACACCCTTCACTCAATGTGGCTACGCCATTGGAAATAAGGATGTCTATACTAAAAATGATTTAATGAACATATGCTTATTAAAGAAATTGAACACATACGTTTTTCATGTACCTGTTCTGAAAGCGTATTGATTGTCGGCATATTAGCGCCTCAGAAGTTGTTGTCAGGCAATATATTACAGTTTGAAAAAAAAAGTAGTTTCAGGTAATATCGTGCAACTTGTGTTTAAAGGAGAACTTTATGTTCTTACATTTTACTTTTTAAATGTATGAGGTTAGAGAACAAGGAGAAGTAACAGTACTATTTGAAAAGAATTTGTGACGGAAAGGGGTAGGGCAGAGGATCTGCAAGAAGAAAATAGTGTAAAGACATGAAACTAATGATGTATGCTTTAGAAATGAACATATATTTACAAAAGAAAATGAACATATACAACTTTTCTTTCAGCCTACTCATTTCTTCCTGGTTTTCTTTCATTCAATTGCAGGGAGATCTCTCCCTATTTTTCTTATGTATATTATATCGACCTATGATCTAGAGATATATTTGAGAACCTCCCTCTAGAATGTCATCATCCTGCATTCACGTCCTAACTTGATTGCCTCCTAAGTTGCTCGGACATGGGTACGGGTGTCCGACAGGGGTGCGGATCTAGAGGTCGGATCCTTTGAAACGTAAATTCTAAGATTCGGGGATACGGATCCTAGTATGGATCCGGGGGGGATATCCGGCTAAAAATAATTGAAAATAAAATAAAAATATAAAAATATCTCTAAATTATGAAAATTTTTGTGGAATACTTACGTATAGCTAGTAAAGTGTGAATTTCTTTTTTATTCTCAAGTTGTAGATAAGTAAATGATTGATTTTCTAAATAAGGTATGCTATTTTCTTCAAATTTTCGCTAGTTTTGGTTCTGATTTCGGGAATCAAATTATATCTTGTCTCGAATTTTTCTGTCCGTTATGGTCAAAGTACCCAAAATTGTTTGACCAGATCCGGTACAGATCCCATACCCACACCCATACTAGGGTCGTGTCGAGACGGGTGCGGCACCTAAACTGCCGTGTCGGAGCAACTTAGATTGCCTCCACCCTTCTCATGTTCATGCTGTCACCATGTGCATCGACACACTAAAAATACCTGCTTTGCAGGTGTCTTTATTGCTTTAACTGTTCCCCTTTTCCCAATTTTATTGGGTAGAATTTCAAAAATATTAAGAATTTAATTGTTATGTTTTCATAGTAAATTAACTCCTCAGCAACTACTGTAATATATTTCCCTATCATCATTGTAAAAGTCCAGTTAACTTTTTGAATTCTAACTACAATCAAATTTGTCACATGAAAGGTCGTGTGTGTGTCAGCATATATCTATATATATTTTGTATAGGAATCTATCTCAATAGGTTAATCTATTTGTCCACTTGTAAAACCTCACATGACCAATATACCATTCATGTTACTTGTCGTATTGTCACCCCCACCCAACCCATAGGGAGAAAGAAATGCACGCAAATTTTATTTTCCATCTCCAAATGTATCTTGCTTCTTCTTCATTCTCAAGAAAAGTGTATCTTGCTTCTTTTTTAGACTGTGTCTTTAGATGCCGTCTGTGTGATTGCATTTATATGGGCTAACATGGCATATTCCTCATGTATTGCTTATGTAGGCAGCTGTTCCTATTGTTCTTGTCATTCTCCTTGGCTGTGGAAGCACTTCATGCATTTATACAAGATGAATCTGAGCACAAGTAAGTGCACCAAAAATGTTGGTAAAAACTAAAAAGTTTCTAGTTTCTTGTCAGTTCACAAAACAAAAGTGATTGATTTTGTGCTCTTTTATTACTAAATTTATCTTCATTAACAAAAATAAGTTGGAGTTCTCCTTTGATGCAAAATCACTAAAATTGTCAGACAATTAGGTTCTACTGTTGTTTGATTGAGGATGGTGGTTAACTTTGATCAGTTACTGATCTGTTAGACAATAAGTGATAGGCTTCGTACTTGATTCATCAGGCTTGCGGTTATCTGAATCTTTCATTAAGTAGAATGAGCTATCCTGAGACTCACCTTTTTCAGACATTAGCTTATTTTTCTCTACTATGATATTTTTCTGAATAGACCTTATAAAAAAAGATATTTGGTGAATAAGAAAAGATTTACAGTTGCTTCACCAAAAAGAGAGAGAGAAGATTTACTGCCGAAGTAGTTCTTTAATATCTATTCTTAAACTCAAGACGCTTTCTTCTTGGAGAATATGAGCGAGGGACATAATTGCAATATTAACCTTTAGTTTTATAAATTGGGTCCTCTAAGTAAAAGGCCTTTGACCAAAACTCAATTGAGGAGTTAGACCCTAGGTTTTAATCCTACAATATATAGGCCCCTTTTAGGATTAGTGATAATCAATTTGATCTTAAGTAATGAAATGGACAAGTTAAAAGGCAGCCTTGAAGTTCTAAAAAATACAAGGTGGTCCAAATATAATTATTGATAATTTACCAAAAATGAAAAAAAATCCCTGCTTCTCCGCCGCTTCTTCCTCCTCATTGCTGCTTTCTTCTTCCACCATTGCCGTCTTTCTTTCCTCTCACAGCTCGTTCTAGGCCGTAAAATTGCTCAAATTCAGTGGTTCTATTTGCATTTCTTCCTTGTCCAAAAGCCTCTATAGCTCCTTCTATTCGTCCCCTTCATTCTGCTCGGATATATCTTCTTTTTTTTTCCAGAAAGCTTTACTCAAATTTTCGATATTGGAGAGTATTTTTCTGAGTGCAATTGCTTGGTCATTAATTATAATACATATATTCCTTGATTTTTTTCATCTAGTAAGTTGTAAAATCTCTTGTTGCTTTGCAGTTTTGAGGATCTGATTTTCTGTTTCTTCAGATTTATTGTACCAAGTAATCGACCCTTCTTTGTTTATTACAAACCATTTTTTATTAGCCCTAGTCTTCTTATTTTGTTAGCCTCAATCCAGTTGGTTTATCAGGTTGAAGTCATTCTTAGTTTATTACAGATAATTTATTGTTGTATTAGCTTTAGTCTAGATGGTATGGAAGACTTTGTAGTAGTGGGTGGAAATTATTTGGGTGAATGTGTGGAGACTCCAAATTACTGGATTAGGTGTTCAAAGGTGATGGTACCAATTGCACTGAGTAGGCAAGCTACCTATGAAGGGTTGGTTGAAAGAGTCATTGAAAGTTGCCATTTGAGAAGCTCGCCGAGCGATGTGTCGATTAGTTCTGCGCCTGTAAGGGGAAAATAGCTCCTCAATACATAAAGACAGACAATCATGTCCATTTATATCTTCTTGGTGTTGTTAGGGATGGTTCTAGATCCCTTCTAAAGATAACTCTGGTTGAGAATCTAACAGAGCTTCAAATGCTGTAGCAGCATCACTACCACCACCACCACTAATGCAATGCCACCTCTACCCCCACCACTATGACCATTCGATGAAGGATATACCCACATAGATGATTTTGGAGAATCTTGTATGAATAGTGATTGTCAGGACAATGATGATGAGACCTCGAGTAGCCTGTCGTTGTTTTCAGCAATTTTGGTCATACGCAGTGTGCTGCAACATAGCCCAGCCAGTCATCTTGTGAAACAATTCTTTTTTCGTGGCAAACTTTCATGAATAAGGCATTAGTAAATGCATTGAGGCTAGCTTTCGTTGAAAAAATCCTCGACCACGCAAAAAGAGTCGAAGCCAGACTAAAGATTTCGGGGTAGCATATGTATCTAGAAAGAAAAGAAATAATGGTCAACCTGCAAAGATATAGCCACAAGAGGATCACTTGCCCAATTGCTTTATCACAAAATGGAGAGATTATTTTTCTTCAAGCAACACTTTTGTAATAATATGCTTCTGTGATGCTTTGTGAAAAAAATTGCTATATTTTTCGATCAATCTATGTTGCTGTGGTGAAAAAATTGAAGTTTTTGTTATTTTTTTGGTAATGCCTTGCTGGTGATATTTTTTTCTTCAATCTATTCGTGTAATTAAGTTTCTGGATTAAGAAATTATTTTGTAATCCTGTTATTTTAGCAATAGTGTTGTCAAAGACGAAAAGCTCTAAAAAGCGCTCTAGGTTTATTGGGACTTTAAGTGCAAAGCACACTTGAAGTGTAGGCTTTAGTAAAAAAAAGGTGAATGAAGGGGAAATATGTGTGTGTATATATATACACACATATTTTTGATTTCTAGGATCCCACGCTGCATATCAGAGAGTAGAAACCTCTACTTCTTCTATCCCATTATTCAGATCCCTAAAGCTTTTGCTAAGGAACTCCATATATACCAATATATAGATTCTTCTAAACTCTCTGATCTACAATGTACTAGGATTCTAGAAATCGAAAAAACTTTGATTATTCCCGACACCTCCTCTAAAGGAACCGGAGATGTCACCTGAAGAGCCTCTGGAGTACATGTTCCCTAATTCAACAGAACCAATGCCATTGTAGGACATAAAATATTCCAATAACAACAATAACAACATACCCAGTATTATCCCACACCGTGGGTCTGGGGAGGGTAGTGTGTACGCAGACCTTACCCCTACCTTGTGAGGAAAGAAAATATTCCAATAATTAACAATTTATATATGTAAAAGCTAAGTTGCGCGGACTCTTCGTTTTTGGTGCCGCACGCGTCTCGACACGGGACGGGAGCGGGAGCGAGATACGTCCCAGATTCGGTCAACTAACTTCGGATACTTTGACCTGAGTCCATCGACAAATTTAGGGGGAAATTGAGATTTTGATTTCTCAAAATTAAAAATAAAACAGATTTAAGACATGGGAAATGGCATACCTTCAATATTGTAGTACTTTTGTCTCATATTTGTTGCTTTGTGTTTCAGAAAAATCGAGAATTCAAGAGGTCGTGTTCTGAGTTCGGACTTCTGGTAGACAATAGCAACAATATAGATGGAGAGTTGGTGGAAGGCCTTGAATGACTTTCTTCTTCTCTTTATAACTCTATCTTTTATAATTTTGATTATTTTTAGCCGAACCCCTCACCCATATTCATACCTGGATTCGCACCCCCGAATCTCAAAATTTATATTTTGCTGAATCCGACAGCCGGATCCGTGTCCGTATCGGATGCCCGCACCCGAATCCGAGCAACTTAGTGTAAAAGAGCAACAGCCACAAGGAAAAGGAAATGGGTTGGCAAATCCAACTTGCTTTCTGTTCTGCCTCACTTCTTCTCTTTTCTCCTCTGTGTTTAGGGATAATCACGAATTTAGAAACCCAAAGGCTAAAAGAGTGGCGCCCAATGCAGTGGTCTTGAAGGTTATCATCCATGGATGAACCTTGATGGTCTATAGTGTTAAAGTGAAAAAGTAGAAATCAACGGCTGAACCTTAAGAGGTTATCCATGGCTGAACTAGATGTGAGCTTCTGTTTGTCTTTTATAGTTTTTTTGCGTCCAGTTTGAAATAGAGTTGGTGGATTTATGGTGGAAGGTGGTGGTTTAAGGTGGTGGAGCTAATGATGATGGGGTGAGGAAGGTTCATATGGAATTTGGGTGGAAAAAGCCTGGTATTATCGCTCAAAGGTTTTTGAGTGAGGAAATATGATAATGTAGTATGGGGCTCAGGTATAAAATTTAATTAAATTCTAAAAATAAGAAATTCGAGGGTCTATTGGAAACAACCTCTCTACCTGCATTAGGTAGGGGTAAAGTCTGCGTACAGACTACCCTCCCCAGACCCCACATGTTGGGATCAAACTGGGTTTGTTGTTGTTGTTGTAATTCTAAAAATAAGAGAGAACAAGTCTCTGATAAAAGCCTCACGCGCCCAAATGTAACTAAAATACACGTAACTTTACATCTCAATATGAGGTGTTTACTTGATACAGTTAATAGCCACTTGAAGTGTTTAAGTGACAAAGGGGCCAATTGAGGTGGCTGGATGATCGTTGAGGACAACTTAAAGGGGCTGTTTAATGTATTTCGCGTAGATTGATTATCACTAATCCTAGAAGGGGTCTATATATTGAAGGATTAAAAGTTGGTATCTGGTTCCTCATTTGAGTCTTGGTCGAAGACCATTTAATTAGAGGACCCAGGTGTTTGGAGCCAAAATTGGACCTTTATTTTTTAGGTTTTAAGTCAGCCCAGAAGTTTTTAAAAATCCAAATAGGCCATCGCCTCCACTTAGACAAATTTTTAGCATTTTCACGGGTTGAAACAAAGGGAAAAGAAATCTGGGTCTATTCCCTTATCTGGGACTGGCAGGGCTCCGTTTAACTAATTTTTCCTTCTAGGTTCTTAGGGCAAAACGATTGTCACTTTAGGCAGACTTTTGGCTGTTTTCTGAAGGTTTTGTGTAAATTGTTGTTGTAAATATTGTTATACTGTGCCTGATTGAAGTCTGCATGTAGGCATTACTTGATCGTCTCTGCTGTCACAAACTTGCTGGTGAATCTCATTGGTGTTTGGTTCTTCAGGAACTATGCACGTATTAATCTTGGTAAGCCTCCTGCTTGCGATCAAAATTCTGTAGAGAGAGAGAGATTCTCATGTATCATAGTTTATCCTTTCCTTTTGGAAATTAAGCATGGTCGATGCTCATTGCGAGGAGTGGATAAGTTAAGAGCTAAGTTCTCTCTTTGAAGTATATAACCAATCTATGATTAACATAAAAATCCAGGGATAACTTTTTAATGATGTTAGTCCTTGACTAAAGACAAGGCTAGCTTAAAATTAAAGCTTCAAATCCTTTTTGACTAAAGAAGTCTACATCAGCAGAAAGAAAGACTACAGGAGTCTTAATATTTTTGTACATTCCAAAATAAAGAAAAAAAATAGTCTAAGCAGAGATTCACCAGAATACTTGTGTACTATTTTCTGAAATATCTTAATTATAAATTTCCAAAAATGATTATAGCAGTCTATGTTTCACAATAATATGATATCAGTTAAGCAAGCCTATTGGGGAGAAATTTCAAGATTCATTTGTTTCAATTGTCCTATGGTCGAGCAGAATCTAGAGTGTCTAAATACAATATGGGTTTCAATATTTTAAGAAGCCTTTGCCAGTTGAGCTACATAAACTATCTTGACTTCATTGAAGATTCCTGATGTGCTATTTTGCCTGCAGTCTATAGAAAAGCTGAAGATATGAATTATCACTCTGTTTGCTTGCATGTACTGGCTGATTCAATTCGCAGGTAAGCGATTACCCTGTATAGCTCATTACATGAACTGGATCCATGATTCAGATGCTATCTTATCAATTACTCAATATCTCGAATATCTTATTCTCTGTCCTGGGTTCGTAGATCTTAAGCTTTCTATACCCTTTTATTTATCAGTGCAGGTCTGATCCTGGCTTCCTGGCTGTTGACACTTGGGTAAATTTTCTTTGCTTCACTACAAAAGTTGTTTTTTTTCTTGATATTCATTGCCATAGATGGCCCTGATAAAGAAGCAAGGTTGTTTGCTGGCTTACCTCTTGTTTTTTCTTGCTTCAGGGTGAAGAATGCTGAAGTCTTATGTTTGGGACTAGTTTCCGCCACAGTTTTTTTCCTCGTCATGCCACTCTTCAGAGCTACTGGTGGCATCTTGCTCCAAATGGCACCCCCAAGGATCCCATCTTCAGCCTTGAGCAAATGCTGGAGACAGGTAAAATTATCACAAACCAATTCAATTCAATATAAAAGTTGTGCCAAATCCTGTAAGCTCACCATATTCAATAGTAATGATGGGGGTCATTAGGAGTGTAAAACTAGGCCAGGTTGAAATAACATGATGTCTGAGGTATGATTGGTATTATTGAAGGCGAAAACCGAATAAACGCTGAAGGCTACTAGGAGTGCATGCTTTAATGAAGAAAGGCGCAAATGAGAAAAAGGACAAAAGGAGTATGTACTTCAAAAAGAATAACTATAAACCCAAACTACAATTATATAGACAAATTACGAAAGAACTGAAAAAATTTGCATTTAGGTAAAGTATTGTGGTTTATTACCACTCTTTTCAAGATAGAGCCCATGGGTGATCATGCACCGTAGTCCAAGCGAAGTGAAGGCACACCTGTTCTGTACCTAGCTTCATGGGTTAAGTGGTCTTCAAGTGAGAGCCCTTGACAACACTAGTAAAGATGGATAGCGTGTTTTTTCCCCCACTGACATACGTTACTTGGTGATATTAGCTAACTAGGGGCGGAGATAAGTAGCAGCGGCTGTTATGCTTTGAAATGAAAGCAAACTTTTCAAATACAATCGGAAAATTTACATTGTAGGGCAATATTGTCCTGCAGATGAATTTTATTTGATGTGCTAGCTCTCATGAATTTTATTGGATGTGCTAGCTCTCTTGCGAAAAAAGAAAAAATTGTTCCCTGGGTGGGGGTAGAGTAGCAGGATTGTTGGTTTCAACAATGGTGTAATAGCTTTGGTGTCCTGGTTTATGAGTATAGAATGTTCCATTCTTTTATACATACTGCATCATTTCCAAACTGTTATCTTTAATATTTTTGTTTCAAATGTGCTTAGGTTTCATCTTGTGAAGATGTTTCAGAAGTTTCTCAAGCTCGTTTTTGGGAACTGGTGCCTGGTCATGTAATTGGATCAATTTTATTGCAGGTGATTACCCGACTTTATGGTGTGCAACAGTACTACCTGTGCTTCTATAATGTCATTTATAAGATACACATGACTTGTCTGCTTTGTGCTGATGAAGTCATTTCTAAGATACACAGTGCTGCTCTACTTGATGGCTTCCCAAAACTCACCCTTTTATGGTTAATTGTTGAACAGGTAAAGGAGGGAGTTGATGATCGGCCTATTTTGCAATATGTGCATGACTTATACCATGAATTAGGGATACAGGACTTGACCGTACAAATTGATTATACATGATCATCATCTTGTTTTCTTAAAAAGTACTTTGAAAGATGCAGTTTACTGATGGTATCTTTTTGGTCAAGTAATTGGTCCATTCATTGTCAGCGTGAGAGAACTTTCACCTCTAAGCTGCAACTGTAGTAAAATGAAGACCTTGTGCTAATGTACTTCAATTTACGATAGAATGTGACAAATACATCTTCAGTCAGGTGCTCGCTTTTTATCAATCAGGGCAACAATCTTTCGAGGTGTGACATCTCTCCTCACTCTCCGAAGACTACTCTCTTTGAAGTAACTAAAATAAAATACGCCTTCAACCCGATGGTGTTCTATTATTTCAATTCCAGTAGGTCTAACATTCAGGAACCTTGCGGAGGTCCCTCAGAGTCTGCCGACAAAGCATATGATTGTTAAACTCTGGCTTGGGCTACAACTAGCATAAGTTGGGCAAGCTGGGCAGAATTACTTATAGTTTCCTCTAGCTACTTACAAACGCAGGTTTATTGCTGATATTAGTGGTGGAATTGCATCCCCTTTCTGAACCTGTGAAAACAGTTCTCATATTGGGCCTTTGTGATGGTTGAGATGGCAGTAGTCCAAGCCTTACATGAAAACACCTTCAGCTTACTCCCGAAATTGTCTATTTAATAGACTATCCACGAGCTTGATGATCCTTCCAATCTTATGCACGTCTAGTTCGACAATAATTACTCTCATATTGGTTTCCAGGTTTCACTTTCAGGGAGCTTAAACATGAGCACACATAGGCATCTCAAGTCTCAATGTTCATCGGCCTATGCTAAAAGTTATCAGGAGCCGTGCAACCTGGAGTTCCAGCAATCTCTTTAGTTGAGTGGTGAGTCTTTCCGCTCTAAACTGTGTTGGCTAGTTCAATACCTCCGAACTGAGTACTAAATGTTTAAGTCTGAGCATTATGTTACGGGCTATGATGTCCATGTGAAGTAATCTATTCTCACACCAACATACAGATGATGTCCATGTGAACTGTCTCAGCCACTCTCTTATTCCTCCATCTTTTTCATAAATGTCAGTGTCTAAGCTCTCATTTTGGATGAAAGCATAGACAACGAGTGCGTGCTTTTTCTTTCAGAAATTAAGTTGTTCTTCCTTCCACAAATTCAACATATCATCAAAAATTAGCTCGACGGCTCCATCTTTTCAATAATTTAAGAATTTGCTAATAAGTTTAACTTTTTCATCCGCTGGTTCTTTTCATCTTTCCTTGAGCCGAGGGTCTACCGGAAACCACCTCTCTTCCTTCTCAATGTACGCGTTACCCTTCCCAGACCTCACTTGTGGGATTTCATTGGGCTTCTTGTTGCTAATAAGTTAACTTCCACAAGTTAAAGGAACGTCCTATCGGTCTGTGTATTGATAGTAAATAAATAAACCCATAGAAAGGATGATAGGTCAAAATATGATCTTTTTAATCTCACATGTCAGGATATGCGTTCTCTAATATCATGGGTAGGTTTTCTGATCTGAGTGATTTATTTAGGTCATGGAGCTTTTCAGGTTTACAATGATATATTTTTTTTTCCTTCTAAAATAGGGTATTTTTCAGTCAACTTCACTGGATTTTGGCAAGAAAGATTTTAGAAAATAAAGTGAAAGTTGAGTGACTTTATAGTTGAAAAAATAATAAATGATGATTTTACTGCAATTATATTACAAATAGAGAAATTTTTCTGTGTATTAATCCTTCATAGTTGACATGAGTCTAAGATAGCTTGCACCGAAGGGTATGAGCTGGTGATTAATAGAGTTGGAATAAACCAGGGGAAATTGGAGTTTAATTATTAATAAGAGACCAAAAAACCTAGGTGTTTTTTCATATGTATAAAATTTAGTAGAAAGATAAACAAACAATAAGTGCTAGTATATGATATATAACTTGAAAAAACATGTGATACAATAACAGGATTGGAAAAAGCAGTAACAAATACTCCCTTTGGTCCATTTAGTGGTCGTGGTTATTTAAAGTAACTGGTCAAAAATACTTGTAATTTCAGAAAATCTAGGTATAATTTGTTATTTTTTTCTCATTTAGCCCAAGTATTAATTCTTCTTGAAAGTAAAATATTAATTACATAGTATAGAAAATCTAATGTGACTGAGTAAATAAGGGTATAGTAGTCAAAAAGCCCTTCTTGTTAATAAATTTTTAAGGAACGTAGAAAAGAGTAGAAAAGAGAAATATGACAACTAAAATGGTCCAGGGAGAGTAGCCTTTTCTATAATAGATTTCATTGCTCCTGTTAAAATATTTTGTGAACACTTGAATGCTCTGACTAGCCTGACGAGGATGTTACTCACTGCATTGGAGCGGGTTGGATGAGATGGAGGCTAGCTTCGGGGGTTTTATGCGATAAGAATGTGCCGCCTAGACTTGAGGGTAAATTCTACTGGATGTTGGTTAGACCGTCTATGTTGTATGGAGCTGAGTGTTGGCCCGTCAAGAAGTCCCATGTCCAGAAGATGAGCGTGGCTGAAATGAGGATGTTGAGATGGATGTGGACATACCAGGAAAGACAAGATCAGGAATGAAGTTATTAGGGACAAGGTGGGAGTGGCATCAGTGGAAGCCAAATTGTGGGAATCGAGGCTGCGATGGTTTGGGCATGTGAGACGGAGAGACATAGATGCCTCGGTTAGGAGGTGTGAGAGGTTAACCATGGCGGGTTTGAGGAAGGATAGGGGCATGCCAAAGAGGTATTGAGGAGAGGTGATTAGACAGGACATGTCGGCGCTTTACCTAACCGAGGACATGACTAGCAATAGAAAGGTGTGAAGGTCGAGGATTAAGGTGGCGGGTTGACAGGTAGTTTTGAGTTTCTCCTAGGTTACCAATAGTACTAGTATTATTCTTGTTGTTGGTTGAATGTTACTTCCTTTTAGTTTGTTATTATTACTGGTACTTAGCAAACAAGTCTAGTGTTTTTGTAAATTGCTACTGGAAATTGTTGCTCCCTGATTATTATTATTTGATGCTACTCTTTCTCTCTTTTACTAGAAATTGTTGCTCCCTGATTGTTACTATCTGATGCTACCTTTTCTCTTCTTTTTCCTTGTCTTTTGTCTCCCTCATATGTCTTTCTCCCCCTCTTTCTTCTTCTTCTTCTTCCCTTCTTCCTTTCCACCTTCTCTTCAGCCGAGGGTCTATCGGAAACAGCTTCTCTATCTCCCCAGGTAGGGGTATGGTCTGCGTACATATTACCCTTCCCAAATTACACTTGTGAGATTATACTGGGTATGTTGTTATTGTACTTGAATGCTCTGACTACTACCGAAAGTTGGTACGCGAGCAAACATAAATGTATGGTACTAGAGGAGTACCTCATTTTCTACATTCCTAAAGAAAACGGAAAAATACACAAGTTTTGTCAATTACATGATATATGTATGGTGCAAGTAGCAACAGGTATCCGATGGAATACAGCGAGTTCGGCACAAATTTATCCCAACTCACCATTACGCTGTTCGGCACAAATTTATCCCAACTCACCATTACAACTGCTATATCTCAACACCATTACAACTACTACTACAAGAAACTAAGGAGTATGAAAAGCCCTTCTCTTATGCTACTGCCTCGGCCTACTTAATGATAATGATGTCAGACATTTCCACCCTTTTCCTATCGTTCACACTGTTTTTTCCTTTGTCCATTTTTTTCATCTTTTGTTTTCATTCAAGAAATCTTAGGAGGATTACCACTTTGACTCAACCCCTTCTTTTTCTCGTACAATTCAAGAAAGTATTTATCCCATTGTTGTCTGGTCCGCCTCCTCGGAACAGAGGCTTCGCCCGAATCCATCTTCCAAAATATGCACCTGCATCAATCAACATTAAACCACAATTTTGTTGATTTTAAAAAAAATGCACAAGCACTAGAAGAAAACCAGAAATTAAACCCAACCAATTGAATAGTCAAATGCATATACGTGTATGTTAAAATACAATCTTCGTTGTCACAATGAAAATTATAGACTGAACTTCCACAGCTTTTACAAGCTACATAGACACTAGTCACCTGGATAAAAGAGAAAACCAACGAAAACTCTTCCGCAAGAGACTCACAGTCAACTGGAAAACCAAGAAGCAAGAGCCTTCAATTTTTGAAGCAAAGAGATTTATAAAAACAGAGGAGAAGTAACAAAGAGACTTGAAACTACTTTTGAATGCATATACACTAATATAGAAAGAGATAATTAAAAGACAATTTTAATTAAGAAAGAAATTGAAGTGACTCAAAAGAGCACGTTTTGGGAAATTTTAGTAGTTCAGTTGGTTGACTACTTAAATTTTGTGTTATTTGTACGTCATGTCACTTTACAATTTATAATTAAAGAAAATGACTTTTTAGATCTTGTAAAAAAATATATCTTTTACGTGTAAAAGTAAATCTCACATGTATAAAAAAGAAGAGATAAGGTCATAAAATTAAAAATAAGTTTTGTAAAGAGCCACAAAACTAACCCTTTTGATCCTCTATCTTATAATTCCTTCCTTCATCCCTTCCCTTACTCCTATGTATAATATATTTTTTTTCAAAAACAACTTGCGTGTGAGATAGGCNCTAAGTTATCAGTGTCTCAAAAGATAGAGAGATCTAGAGTACAAAAGAAAGTTGTGTCACTTGACTAGAACTCAATTGTTGATTCTATAAGCTGATGGTATACACAAAGATACCATCATTTGTGTAAAATTATATAGAATTTTTACATTCTTATACACTATATGAAACTATATTACCCTCCCTACTCAAGTTTTACTATAATTACATTTTATATACCCAATTACCATTTATGTACATTTTAAGGAAATTAATGATAATAATTAGTTTCCTAAAATTACTCTAACATATCTTCCACTACCCCACGTTTCTCTCTCCACATCTCACCCCCTCCCCCACGCATCTTGCACAAGAGAGCAGCAATTTCACCATTGACAATCATTAAAAAGCTTTGAAGCTTTGAATTCGAATTTGGTTTTCAAAAAACATTGTTTGTTTGAATTGGATGTTGTTGCAAAGAATTGAGAATTCTCTCTACGTCTCTCACTATCTCTCAATCCCAAATTTCAGTAATGTAAAGCAAAGGAAAAGAGAGCAGCAACTCCACCATTGACAACCATTAAAAAGCTTTGAAGCTTTGAATTCGAATTTAGGTTTTCAAAAAACATTGTTTGTTTGAATTGGATGTTGTTGCGAAGAATTGAGAATTCTCTTAAGGGAACTCAGATTACCAAATCTTGATCATTCCAGTTTCGAAGTATTCGCTCACTTAATCTCTCTGTGAAATCAATCGTGACATGGAAAGTCACATTCGAATCTGGGCCAGTCAAAGAGCAAGATTCAAAGAGGCATCTCTTGGGTCAAAATCCTTAATCAAAGATCTTATGCCTCCCGTTTCTAATAAGGAATTAATGGCTCTTTTCTCTAGTATAAAAGGAAGCTCTCTCAAGAAGAAGACCACGCAACTACAAAAAAAGTATTCCAAATCTGTCGACGTCTTAGTTCAAACACTGTAATCCTAAGTTATCAGTGTCTCAAAAGATAGAGAGATCTAGAGTACAAAAGAAAGTTGTGTCACTTGACTAGAACTCAATTGTTGATTCTATAAGCTGATGGTATACACAAAGATACCATCATTTGTGTAAATTTATTCAAAGATCTTAAAGAAACCCTTGTGACCCAAGGGAATTGGATGTAACTACCACAACAGTACCGAACCAGTATAAATCGTGTGTGTCTTACTATTGCTCTTTACAGCTTTTACTTCTTCTGTCTCACGGATTACTCAAGTAATAGCTATATTAGTCGACTAGATTTTAATTAGGCAACAATTCACCCCCCTCTTGTACTTTCACGATGACACCTGTTCCTTTGACAGGTCGTTGCCTTTTACTGCCGTGATGTAATGAATTATGTTATCTTCCGGGTCCGTGGTGTCATTGTATATTTTCAAGTATGGCGGCATTTTGAAGGTTTTTGAAATGGAGTGGGGAGCTGCCCTTTCACTATATGGCTGCTTGACGAATCGGCCTACATCACGTTTCGGCAGCAACTTCGGAGCACCGGTATTTTATCGACCCTTTCCTGATTCTCCTTCATCAGATCACAGAGCGCTTTGTTCTCGTTTTCCATTTCTTCTATTTTCTTTAAGATGGCTGCAAGTGCATCGTTACCTGCATCAATGACAATATGAGTGTTACCTGAGCGTGGAGTTTCTAGCTCATCGGCGACAGTTGCGATTTTTGCGTGTATTGTGCCTCCGATATCCCTTTGAACGGGTTTGTCGAGTATGTTGCTCAAGGTGTTTGTCAACCACTCTTCTAATAGCCTTTTCACAGCCGGTGGTGCTTCTCCTGCTGCAGATGTTGAAGTTTCCTCCCGCGCGAGATAGTCACATTTTCGTGCGGGGGAAGGGGGTGAGGTATCTCCCTCAGGTGTAGCGCTTGGCGTTGCGTTTTCATTGTCTTCCCTGCCGACTTCGTTGATGGAATCCAGAAGGTTGTTCGTAACACCTACTACTGCCTTTAATCTTGCTTCCCCCTTTCCTGCCATTTTTGGTCTTTGCGAGGCTAAGAAGAGGTGATTATCTCTTTCAAGGATCTAGACGAAGCTAAAATCTCAGCTATAGAAATCCTCACAGACGACGCCAAATTGTTTAACTCAAAAGATATTGGAACCTTTTTGAATAAATCAATTAAAGAAGATGAAGAGGTAAATCTTAGCTAAGTATAATAAACTCTAGAAACAAGGGTATAAAAGATGAACACAATGAATAATATTTTTGATCGTGCGAAGATGAATGATCGAACATCAAGGATGCCGATCTTTTACGTAGAAAAGTATTACAGTCAGTGTTCTTAGCTGAGAAAGCAAAAAAGGCCCCTTTACAAGGTTGTTTTTCCGCTATATATAAGGGACAAACTCCTTCTGAACCATAAAAGATATATCAGAATATTCCTAGTGCCCCCTATCGGGCCTACACTACTGTAAAGGTCATGCAATCTCTGTTCGCTTGTCTGTCGTCCTCCATGGGACGTTGAGCTAAGAAAATCTCGTCGTTTGTCGTATTTGTCAATAGTCGTGGTCGTCCAAATTTGGACCCATACAATAACAACAAACTCAGTATAATCATACAAATAAACTAGCAAAGTATGAGAAGGATAATGTATACGCAGATTTTACCCTTACCCTTACCCTTACCCTTACCCTTACTTTTACTGTGAACGCAGAGAGTCTGTTTCTAAAAATAAATAAAGCAGTTGCGAATAAATTAACAATTATTAAGTAAAAAAAATAAAAAAAAAATATCTACAAACACACATAATCTGTAATACAAATATCAAGTTGCAAATAAGTTTTTGGTGGTTTTAAGGAGCGAGATTGGCTTATGCTCTTTTGGCTCCCTTATAAATGATGAAACATTTATGGTTTTACAGCTGTAAAAATTCGATAATTATGGGGTAGATTTTATTATCACACTACAAAACAAAAACGTGGTAATTGAGTTCAATGTATTTGGTAGGTTACAGACTAGCTATTTCCTTTCTAGTGAAACATCACCATTAATTATCACTACAATTGAATCACTGCCTTTCCTCTTTCAGCTTTGATCCTCTTCTCAATGAAGTACAGTACTGAAGCATGCCAAACATGAGTATTTGCTTCTTCTTCCTTCACGTGACTCTGTGGACCCCATGATTTGAAATTCGAATAAAAATTTAATGTTATGACAGATGGAAGAGAGCTTTATTGTTCAAAAAAGATTAAAGCTTTTCAGCTGCAGCAAGCAAAGGAGATGTATTTGTATGAAATGAGAAAGTCAAGGATACAAAGCGATCAGCCTTTGATTTTTTTGGGGTTAGAGATATTGGTCACTTTGGGGGAAAAGAGGGGGTTTCGTACCAGCGGTGCAGATGATCAAATGTGATTTTACAAAGAAGTGACAGAAGACGTTTGGTACGGCGTATACTAACAATAACAAACTCAGTATAATCCTAGAAGCAATTTTTTTAAGAGATTAGTGTGTAACAACCCTACCTTTATCTTACAATCTGTTTGGATCATTGTTACCCATCGTTTTATAATGTATTATATTATATTGTACTGTATTATATCGTTTTGATGGATACAACGTTTGAATATATTGTACTGTTTGCTGTTGGTAAATAACATCTTTATTATTTGATTTGACTATATTGTACTGTACTGCACTGTTCTATTATATTTACTAAAATATTCTCAATTATTTTATATACAATGCTTATTAAGAACTACTCATAAAAAATGATTTATTTATTTGACCTCCCCATCTTCTTCGCAGGGAATCATCATTCTACCATAGTAGCTAAAACACCAAACTTGTTTCATACAAAAAAAAAATAAAAATTATAGCCCCATCAAAACAGAGTTAGACAACGGACCTTCAATTTCTGGTGTTTGGAATGGCAGAAACCTAAGCAAATCATATATTATGTAAAAGAAAAAAAAGAGAGAGAAAGCGAACCAAAAAAAAAATGCACGCCACAAGGATGGAGACAAAGTACGTAGTTGGATGAAGTATAATATAAATAATAGGGTAAAGGATAAAATTGAAATATAGAATAATTAGTGTGGACGTAATTGGAAAGAAAAATGCAAAACAATCCCACCACACCGATTTGGTTGTTTCATAAAGTGGGGCTTTTCATGTCCCGATACAATGAATTTTGACAATACAATACGATCAGTTTTATATTAACAATCAACACAAATATTATATTTGGGGTAATAATACAATACAATACGATGGGTAACAACCATCCAAACAATACGTTAGGTTGTTTCCTATACACTCTGCTCAAGTAAAGATGAAAAAGAAGCAGTAATAACAATAAGATAATAAATAAAACTGAAGCGAAAATAATATATATANAAAACCAAATCCAAATCACATTTTGATCAGTTTTTAAAATTCAAAACTAAAATCAAATCAAACTTAATAAATCCAAATCTAAATATTTTAACACATGTTTCTTCAGCTAAGAAGAGCATAGGGTATTTCACTAAAAATTTCACTCCTATTCTTGATCTTTGTGTTTAAATTGGTATACTGGGTTTTTAATACTCCTAATTTTGTCCCACTTGTTTTTGGTGTCAATGTAATTTTGATTATCCTGTTTT